TTTCACACAGGCTTTTTTAAGACCCTAGCTCTTATCGATACGGAGAAAAAAGTCTTTAATCAACGGCGTTATTGTGGAACTTAAAGTGTTTGCCGATTGTTTTAATCAAAATAATAACCCTAATACTTGGTGATTAATACTACTTGTCAATCCTTCTTGTGCCTAACTTGTCAGTAAATATTTCTAGGCACGTAGCCAGAACAGTTTTTTTAGGGAAAAGCCGCCCAAATTGTCAACATCGTGCGATACGCAAAACGCACACTTGACTGAGGGTGCTTACAAATTGTTTTCGCAAAGACAATTTTTTTCCCTGAAAACAAGGATTGGTTTTATTCTTCAGGGCAGGACGCCAGCCAAACATATATTTTCATCAAAATTAAAAATGGTCACCGGACATAGTTGTTCGACTTTGTCTGAAAACGCCCAGGAGAATACGTCACGAGCCAGGTTGTCACGGGCCAACTGGTCATAGGTGAGCTCGTCTAAAGGCATTTCGCCACAGGCCCATTGGTCATAGGTGAACTTGACAAGGAGGCCAACTCGTCACAGGGCATCTCGTACGAGGAATTGTCCTCATGCTGGAATAATCGTCACTGTAGGAACACTCGTGTCACGGCGTGGAGTTTGACTGTAGAACTAAGAATTTACTTCTGTTTATTTCTATCAAATATTCAACGCACCGTGTTGGCAGCTGTGATCTAAACATGGCGCTGAAATAAATACAACTATACTTCGTCTCACCCTACGATGAACTAAAGGCAAAAGCTACGGACCGCCAGATCCAATCACGAGCCACTTAGAAAGTGTGCGGTATTTCGCTTCGATGCATGTGTCGGTGCCTGCGTCTCGGATCACCGGTCATGGGATGTGTGGACAGTGGCTCGAATCGAAGAGCACTGAGTGACTCAACAATTTTACATCGCAAATAAAGCCACGACATACACGCTCTTTGCAGTGTCAAAGCTATGAAATGATGCGACACTTTTGGATTCGAGCATCATTCGTCCACCCCTAATCAATGTTAAGCGTGTAATAGTATAGCGTGGAACGTGATTGGACCTGGCGTCCCGCGGCCTTGGCCTTTAGTCCATCGTAGGGTGAGACAAAGTATAGATGCCACAACGCGGTTTAGAAAGAACAAATGACAAATGCGATTTTATTGAACTTGCATGTGTCATTACAGCATGGAAATCAAAACCGAATATTCCTAGAAATATTTCGAAGCGTGCTGAGAAGAGATCCGATGAAGTGCTCCGCTAGAACTCTAGATATGTGGTCGTTCACATCTTTATATTTCTGTGCGAGACGCGGCGGTGGCTGTCTCGCGTCTAGCTAGGCCATCTTCAGTTCTTTTAGTGCTTGTTCATCCTGCAGACACCTCAGGAAGGCTCAGAGGTTGGGAAGACAACAGTCGACGTTAAATCTTACTAGTATGTTTTTTCTTTTTTTCCAACGCTCATTCTTTTTTTTTAAATGTAGCCCTAGTGGTCTGATACAGTTGCCAAAGTTTAAGAACTAAACCCTTATCTCAGTCAAAATTTAAAACCGATATCCTGAAATTTTCAATGGGAAAATGGCGGCCGATGAAGATCCTATAATGCATGCACACTCTAAAAAAAAAAAATTGCAGTAAAAGAATTTTTAGAGTTTTTCGGCTTGTTCATAATTTGAACCCTAAAAAGTTATTTTAAGCACCCCCGCCCCCTAAAAAAATTCCTTCTAAAAAAAAAAAAAAAAACTTTGAGGTTTTTTTAAGCTCTTGTTTTTGATGCGAAAGAGTTCTTCCTCGCCCAGTTGCCTTCGTATAGTGCGCCAAGGAGGCGAATGCGCTTGAGGCAAAACCTTTGTTCAAGAGCTGAAACAAAATTTTGGGGCATCAAAGTACTTTTAAAGCGCGAACTTTTATTTCGAGTGCAACTGAATGGCGCCGTTATCGAAAATGGGCCCCATTTTTCCATTGAAATTTTCAGAAAATCACCTATAACTTTTGACTGAGATAACGCGGTTAGTTGTGAAACTGTGATGTGGTTCTGACTGCGAGGGCTACATTTGGGCGAAGAATGAGCGTCCAACAATGCGTAACTTACATATAAAAAAATAATTGTAAATTTAGTAACGGGCTTCAGTTGCACTAGTTGGTGCATCAAGTTGGTCATCGGGTCAGTTGAACACGAAACACGAACAAAAAGTTGTTGAAGGGACATTTTTTTTTTTTTTTTTTTTTACTTTTGGCGTTGCTTGATTTGGTTACATCAGATCGTAGCTTCGGCTGCACGCTCAATGTCAATCCACCGTTTTGGGGATAACTGTGACTTCACTGGTTTCGGAAACGATAGGTTTGATTGCGTTGACCCCACAATGCTTGCATGGTGTATCTGACATGATACATTCCGGTAAAAAAGCGCCTTCCATGAAATCACAACAGGAAGGCAACGCGAATGCACTCTGCATCCCATCCGGCGCATGTTTTGTGCCACCTGTCTCAAAAATACTCCGTCAGATGGAGCCATTTCGGCTTTCAGACGGGTAAAACAAAATGGCTCGGTAGCGTAAACTACCGCCCGATCCAAAGGGCTCAGCCGGATTCATCCATCCATTTGGCGCTCAGATGCACGGCATCCTGACATCGGTAATTTTTCGCGAGGAAAGTGTAACCTCCAGGCAGCGCTCCTAACTTCCAGGTGGTGCACATCTCTGTCGTTTAAAAACTGCGAGGGAATTAGCTGTTACGCTGTGCTCAAACAAAAGCGAAAACTGCTTTTGCCGCATCCGGCACCGATGTTTTGTGTATCACATATAATACATGAAGTATTTCTTCGTTTTGAAGTTGAAAATTGCGATAAACATTTTTTAAAAATAATTTTTAGAATCATGATTTATAGTAGCAAGTACTCTAAAAAATTTCGCGTAAAAATAAAAAAGTCATGCATTGTAGGGTTATATATAGCAGACTGAAAAACAACATGGCAGAGAAGATTACGTCGATCAACACGCCCGAATCGCATTCCGTCGGCTTATGTGACAAGAAACTTCGCCTAGACGACGTAAACCCCGACAGCAAATTCAGACCAGAACGCTTACGTCAAGTGGAAGCAGAACGCGCGCCGTGATAATTTGAAGCACGAGAAAAGAAAGGAGGCCCCAAAGAGCCGTCTGCAACGTGCAGACGAAAAACCAGAGACGAAGCCAAGTCAAGTGTCAAAAATTGCGAGCCACCACAAGCTCACGCGCGCTTCTAGGCTTGCTGCTCCGACGAACGAACAAAAGAAAGTTAAGGTCAAGTCTAGAGCGAAACAAAACAAAAAGATGCAGCGAATAAGAAGCAGAACACGACTCGAAATGAATCCGTAATGTGCGGGCCACAGAAATACAAAAATAAACCGTTCAAGACGTCTGCTTCGCGCGCTCGCCGCCGGTCGTCGTCTGCTAAGCAGTTTTCGTGCAAGAAAACAAACAAACAAACATAAAAACACGCCGGCGGCCTAAAAGAAGTTTATCGCGAACATGAAGTGCTCGAAAGCTACAAGCGCATTAAACTTACCTAGCGCGCGCACAAAAAAGGCAAAAATAGTCCCAGGCGATGCCAAAGCAAGTTGTGACCCGTACTGACTGATGCACAGACTCCTCTTCCTGGAGGTCTGCGTCGTGTTCATGTCACTTGGCCGAGAAAAAAATACAGGCACCATTAAAGCCTTCGGACGATTCCGTCCGAATCCGGAAATATATATATATATATATATATATATATATATATATATATATATATATATATATATATATATATATATATATATATATATATATATATTTTTTTTTTTTTTTTACGGGCAAGGCATCGAACGCGGAGCTGTGTTCCCGCGTGATTGAAGGGTCACTTGAGGCTGACCCCAAAAAACCGAGAAGGGATGGCTCTGTGTCGTGTCGTGTCGTGTGTGAATCAAACTAAGGTACTTCCCCATCGTCTTGCTGAGCCGGGCAACGGAAGCTTTAGTGACTTTAGCTTGGATTCCCGAGTAGTATACGAGGCGGAAAAAAACGGCAGTCCCAGTGCCGTGTACGCAGTTTTACTACACCCCGGACCGGCCGACTCGGGAACTGGAAAAACGCCGCTTTAATTATAGCTCTCTTGAATAACCGACCGACTTGTGACCCGCCCCGGGAATGAAAAGATAAAATTAACGCAGGAACAAAAGACCCCACTGCGAGGAGCAGACGAAGAAAAACCACTTTGATCCGAAAGTAATGGTGCTCGCATCCCTGCAGTTTTGTCCTTCTCGCTCTTTCTCTAGAATGGGAGAGAATGGCGCAACGGTAAAGCAAATCCGGTCTTTTTCGCTTAACCAAAAGATGACCCCACTGACGTCAGCGTTTTATGCTCACGGTCAAAACGAGTGACGAGAGAGTTATTCTCTGAACTTACGCGAAACGTCACCACTTTACGCTTCCATTAGCGGACCAACAACTCCAGTAGCGGCGCCGGGCGATCGGAGTGCGCTTGGACCACGCGAACGGTTGTGACGTCACCGTTTTATGCGCAGCTCGCGCGCGAACTTGTTGCCCAGTTTGCGGCCGGTCTTTCGCTCGGGGCACACGTTAACGTCATCACTTTGCGGGCTCCCCAAAAGAGCGCAGCTCCGCGAGAGAGAGGCAAGCAAAAAGCCGAAAAGGTAAAACGGGGCCATCAAAAACGTGGCGCCCTCTATTCCAGGCTGCCCAAAAGACAGAAAACATAAAAGAAGGACCAGTCGCGGCGTCTGCTTCGGACCGCGCTAGCAGACGGAGAGACTCGCGTCGTCTGCTCGCGCGCTAAGCGACTTGGTTTGGCGACTTTTCTGCTCTTAGAAAACGTCGAATTATTTTCGGCGTTGTGTCTTCAAGTTTATCGGAGATGTGCTCCTAGACCAAGTGTGTGCCTGAACCACGACTCTCTTGAGTCATTCATGCGGTGTCTTCTGCGGCTGCGCCGGCGTGGTGTTGTTCGGACGTTGTTGTGTTCTGGTGCTTGTTACGCTACCTGAGGAGTGATACATCATGAGGTCCAACCACAACAGGTGCCGGCCACCGGACTTCTATGGTGAGTACCGGTCAACTTAACTCTCCAAACCTGGTACGTTTTTTATAACGCTAAATGATGGAAACAACATCCTCTCCCTGGCTTATTTAAACGCCACTTTTATCACACCAATTGCCTGTTAAACCTAAATTTTATACATTTGTGTAAAAGGACGGTTTTGGTAAGTTCCTGCGGGATCACATTATTGTCCAAGTCATGACCAATGCAGAGGATTGATGTTTTAAAAACAAGCTATTTTGAAAGGAACTGCAGTAATCAGAAAGTGGATTTGTGTCTTAGTAGATTTCTGCACAAAAAAGAAATTCACAATAAAGACGCCAGTGACATTGTTAAACTTCAATTGAAGTGATAATTGCCAAAACGTTAAAATCTAGATTTCAAAATAAAGCAGACTTTCAAGTAAGAAATTGTCTAGTAAAATCGAAAATAAAGCTTATTACAGGAGTTATTCCGTGGAAACTCGACTCAACGTCACCAAGTATGCGAAATACTACAATATGTAGGTTGACAGATGTGGCAGGCTCGGTTGGATGCCGTCATATATGTCGCGATATAACTTTGGCTTTGAACATTTCTTGTAGACGTTGTACGCGGTGACAAAAATATAGAATACTCATATCGCATAACCTAACCCCCCAAAAAGCTATAGGAGTATCTCCATTAAAATATGCAGAATAAGTAAAAAAAAAAAAAAGCAATGCACACAACATTCCTTTGAAAATGCCGACACTTATGCAGGTCACATCATTTACTGACGAAAAACAAACCCCGTTAAGCCTGATGGCACAAATTCGAAGAAAATGTGGGCATATATAGAATGAGGTTCGAACATTAAACAAAGACAGCTTGTGTGTTCGTAAACAATGGCACCCTCCGAACGACGGCTGATCCTTGACTCATTTAATGGCCTTCAATGACCGCTTTCGCAACAATGCAACCCTGCCGACATCACCCGAACTTGAACTTGGCTCGCTATGAAAGACTCCTTTGTGTCTGGCGTCTTGTGTCCACCTGCATCAAGAGCACCAGATCACGAAATGCGGAACTTACGACAGAAATGACACCACCTCGCGTACACTTCAAAAGATCCCCAGATTTTCACTCCTGCGAAAGATATTATCTTCGGGCGGCAACTAAGCTTCTGTAAAACATAGCAATCCATAATTGTTCTTTTTTATGGATGGACAAGCATTGTCGCAAGGATGGGTGCCATAAGTTTTAGTTCTACTTCTTTATCACGTGGAAACCAGTACGGACATTGATATCGATATGGGCAGTTTTATATATTGCACCACGGAGTAAACCTGTCTTAGAAGTGTACAAAAAGCCGCTAATACATGGTGGGACCCAGACTTCCGAGCTTGTTAATTAAACACGCAAATTAATATCTAGCTGCTATCTTGCAACATTTGGTAAGATTTTAGCATGTTTCTAATATTACCTATATTACCTATATCTGTCCTTGTAACTGGCTGGAAATCGACAGGCTTATATAGGTAACGCCTGATAATATTTAGTGACTAAATATGTTAAAAGTTAGAATTTTTTTTCTACGTTGAAATATATTATTTGGAGCTTTCCAAATATAGAAACCAGTTTTACTGAGGTAATCCTTTTCAGAATGCTCTAAATGTTGCGAAAGATTGCAATTGATTGCTTGAAATATGAGTACAAAAAAAAAACACAAAAAACATTGATTAACAATTATTTGTGTGTCATGTACATATTACCGAATATCATGCTTTTGTTTGCTTTCGAGAATCCGGTATTCAAGCTACGAACCGCTAAATCAGCTGAAATTCTTTTCGTAACATTGTAGCCAACCCCCTAGAAAAAAAATAATTTCGAACTTGATTTTAAATGTTTCCAATAACCGTCACTAAATTTTTGTATTACACACACACGGAATTTATGTCCATATTTTTAGACAGCTAGGATTAAACAAAAAAGAAACACATACACACACCGTAATCCGCAACAAAAAGTTGGTCACAAATATACGCTGCACGACACTTCGCGAGAAATACTACTTGGACAAACTAAATAATTGCGGAAACTTGGTTAAGTTTTATATGAATCCTTAAAGTCTAAAAACAGCGCAAAAAAAAACAACGAAAAAAAACTAAGGACCAAAAAGGAAATACGTACATTGACAGGATTGCATTGTGAATTACTTGGTGACAGGGTTATAGTCTTATTTCTTCCCTTCAATGTCTGCATTTTTAAATAAAATCAGATGAAAGTCTGGTCCCTGTTCGTGTACGTATTCTCTGGTCCATCGTCTTGTTGGCGCTAATTTTAGTTGAAAAACCGACTTAGGCGCCCTTTGACATTTCACTTCGCTAAGGTACTGACGGGTATCAACATATTTTATTTGACGTAGTACCTCCACCTGAGAACTTTCCACCACAATAGTAATTTTGATGACAGCCTTTCAATACTGAGAGAAAAACAGAAACAACCGACGATGGCTTGTTCACGCAAACAGCACTCACAGCGTGTACTACAGAAATTGGATGAACAAGGTGTTTCTTGTGTTATAATCAACAGACAAACTAAATATGAATTGGTAAACATTCTAAATGTTGCAGGCCCAAAACTTGTAAACCTCGGTCTTGTGCCTTCAGTACGTAGCAAGAGTTTTTTTCCCCGCTCACTTGTCCGCATCGGGAAAAATCGGGCCACCCAGATAACAATTCGAAGAGTCTTCCCATAAACGAGTCAAGATATGTCAGCCATGTGATAAAAACAGAAACTAAATGTTCGAGTCTTCTTTTCCCGGAGAGATAGCGTCGCTCCATTTAAGAAGCAGCATGCCACAAACCACAAAAAATATAAGAAACAAAAATTAAAAAGAAAGAAGGACACGCTTAAAAAAATCGTTTACGAGCGTGAAACGAAATCCACATTAAAATTCGTCACGTCGAATCGGAAAGTAGAGCATTCCCTCTTTCTTAACGCCATTTTTCCGGTACTCTTTTTTATATTTATGTAATTTTGTGCCCGTTCAGGAAGGATATAATTCCTGCTCAACTGAAAACAACAGGCGTTCAGACAGAGTGACGCAGCAATGTACTTCTCATGTGGGATGTCGCTAACTTTTCAAAGAGGTTCGAATATATTGAACTTTTAAGGTAATCGGCAGAATTTGGAGTGAAGATTCCATAATCTGCGCATCTGTGGAAATTGAAAACGAGCTGGGTGCACTGCTTAACATTAGCAAACTACATCAATAAAGGGTTGTATGTTCTGAAAAAAAATTTACTGCGCAGTAAATTTCAAATTAAAATGTTTGCCTACTAGTTGGGAAACCCTGTTTACGAAGTCGAACCTTGTCAATATCGCTGGGGTGAACCAAACTAGTCTGTATTTCACACTACGTACATTGTTTGTGATCACGTCTTGCTTTGAATAGGTTACTGCTAAAGTTAGCTGTCGCAATCGGGGCGTGTAAAATACTCTAGTTTTACTAAGCCAAACAGTATACGCGTAACCTAGGGCAAATCGAAATTTCTCCCAAAATCTTGCTTTGTCGTAATGCTTTGATAAGTTGTCAGTACAGTCACCTTATACAATCTGGATCTTCCTAACTTGCACGAAAATGCTATGATGTCGTCCTATGAACATCTTTTGATATTATAACTATAGATTCTTTGAAGTTACACAAAGTCCTTAATTGGGAATATTAGTGCTTTCTGCTATTAACAAACAATGTTCAGCTATTTATAATCACTAGATTGATTAAGCTGCATGTGCGAAGAACAAACCACATATCAAGAAGCGTGAATAGGCCCACACCCTGAAAATTTTAAACAAAATATTGTTTGCGTTTTATTTGAAACAATAAATCAAACAATTATTCTAATTACAATTCACTTAGTGGTGAATAATAACCAAATTGCCTATAAAAATTTCACGTTTGCGATTTTGCTAAGCACTGCTTGGACGTAATGACTGATGTTAATAGCATAAAACACATGCGTTCGTTTTTGGCTCCCAGACTAACAGTCAACATAAAACACCGGAAAAAAACGAGCGGCGTTAACTTTTTCAACGCCTCTCTAGACGAGCAATCGTAAATATTGTTATAAAAAAAAACCCTGAAAAGAATTTTTTTAACAGTCTGGTTGGAACACGCGTGTCAAAAAATTAATTTTACGCGAATTATTTTTTATTAGAGCAATATCGACGGCACGAGACGCGATTTATTCGGTAGTCACCTCCTTTCCACTTGTTTTCTCTCTCGGCATATCGGGCACGTGGAGGAGAGATGAATCGACTCACGTTGAGGAACAAAGACCGAATGACCATCTCGTTGAGCAAATGACCATTCCGTGACGTCATGGACTTTGCGCGCAGAATTTTAAATAAATCTCTTGCCGTCAATATTGCTCCCAAATTTTTTTTCGCATAGAAGTTTTTTCTGACACGCGTGTCCCAATCAGACTGTTAAAAAAAGTTTTTTTTCTTTTCAGGGGCCCTTTAAGGCTAATAAGGTGGTATAATAATAATAATAATAATAATAATAATAATAATAATAATAATAATAATTTTATTTGCCCATCACAAATGTAATGTTATATATATGGGCACATCAAAGCCAGCTAAAGGCTTGTGTGATGACACCCTAAAAGAATAAAAAAGAACAATAGGATCGGCAAAAACGCAAAAGTAGAAAAAAAAACACGACAAAGCAAAAGAAAATATTGTCAGGACAGAAAGCTATACATACATGTAATCAGAACTATTAGACCAATAGAAATGAAAGTATAATCAGCGACAAGCAAAAATGTCGCTAATCTTAGCAAAAAAAAAAGTAAAAACTAAACAATTCAGCAGAACTATACTGAAATGGAAACTCGACATTGAAAAAACATATCAAGGAAAAGAAAAGTAGAAGGAAAAGTCGTAACTGTCATCAGAGAGTGACAAAAGAAAAAAAAACAGTGAGTGAATAAGCTAATTAATACACATATAAAAAAACAAGAAAAAACAAACAG